AATAAAATAAAAATAACAATATAATTTTAATGCAAAAAGGAAGACAAAAATAAACCAGAGAGAAATAAAATCTAAGAGAACAAAGTGATGCACAATACAATTGCTCACCACCTGCTGACCAGTGCTCATCCCATCCCCGAGCAGAGATCAAGCCCTTCCAGCCAACTCCTCCCAATTTATGTACAGGGCATGATGCTCTCAGATATGGGATATCCCTTTGGCCAGTTCAGCTCAGCTGTCCTGCTCATGCTCTCTCCCAGCTTTTTGTGCCACTCCTCACTGGGAGAGTATGAGAAACTGAAAAGTCCTTTACTTAGGGTAGGCACTACTGAGCAACAAACATCAGGGTGCTATCTACATGATTCTCCTACTAAACCAAAACCACAGCACTTCACCAGCTATAAGGAAAAGAATTAACTCTATCCCAGCCAAAATGAGGACAAATAGGGACACGACTGAGTATATCACCTGCTTTTCTCTGCGTCAGTCTCCCCCACACAGAACCCGCCTCTAATTCCTTTTTCTCCATTGGTCCCAGTTTTGATAAATCTACATTCACATCTGGTATGGCTGGCACCATCACCCAAGTGACCTCATACTTCTGTGGTGCTGGTATTCTTGATGTGGTTATGTGAGTGCTCTTCATGGTGTATGATCCTGCTACATAAAAGATGACCTTTTCAAAATATTCCACTTCAATACCTGTCAAGTTTGGCTGCCCCTCACACAACTCCTCCATAATGACATGTGAGATCCAGCCAACTTTCACTGTTTGATCTGTAGCTTTCATCAGCTGCTTACAACATTATACTCAGCAACTTCTCATTACATTCTCTATATTTCCACCTCCCCTCAGGCAGCCTAACCTCCACCCAGGCCCTAGTCAAGAGCCTGATCATTTGCCTGCAGCCTTAACACCATCTATGTATCAAGTTAATCAGCAAAAATTTAAAATCACCACTATAATACACACATCACTGTTACAGCTAATCCCTGAGGTATCCTTCCTGACATGAACAGTTTTTACACTTCTTATTGACACTTCCTTTTTGAAGTCTGTTTATTAGCCAGTTTCTACACCAGTATTTTGTGTGCATGACAAACTGCACATTTTATAGACCTCCAGCAGAAATGGAATCAAACACAAAGAAGCCCAAAAGAGCAATGGTTCTCATTATTTTATTGATTGACTCTGACCATCAATATAGAAAAAAGGTTTACTTTCCAAGTCCAGTCACAAAGCATGCATCCATTCTGTAAATTAATAGGAGGACTGGGAATACCAGACATGTGGTGATTATTTTTGCTGCTCAAAAACTTAGTAGTTGTTACTTACTCACTGCTTTCAGAACAACTCCTCAGTCGTTGGGGTGACTCTGCCATCTTGAATGTATGCTTGCTTCTTTTCATGGACATCCATAGGTTGTGGCCATACATTGGCAGTCAGGAGTAGTCCAGATACTCTCAGTAAATTGTGTCCATGAAATACTCAGCAAAGCTTTCTCCAAATGCACTTTCCACCAAACCAACTCACTGAATGTCTATCAACAGTTGCAATCAAAGACCTATCATTTTTCTTCTTTTAAATAAGCCCTTCATAGGCTTCAGACATTAAACCTCAAGTACCAAATTAAGAGGATGGGCTAGCGGCTGCCAAATTTTCAAGAGGAGGAAGGCCTCTCTCTTATATCTATCACAGAAAACACCATAGTGTGGTATAAAGATTTTACCAACATTTAAAAAATCCTTCGTGACTCACCTGTACATTTGCTACATTTAGATTTACAATACCGTTATCCAAAATAATATGAAATCCTACCATAAGATGAGATATTTAAAAGAGTCAAACAAGACTCCCCTGATAGTGACTCATTACAAAGACTGACCTCTCTCTCCTTTTGGTTGTTACCCAGTCTAGTACTTGTTTTTGCAATTCACTTCTGTCATTCAAAGTGGAATTACCTTTAGGTAGAGACTACAGTTCATACACTTCTTGAATTCCCTATGTATCTATGACTTTATATTAAACAAAATGAGAAGCATAAACATTTATAAGCACATAAAGAATGGTTCTACCAACCATCCAAAACCCATGCATATTTTATGTTTTGTAGAAGAATGCTAAATGGAGGTTCTTTAATTTTTTTTCCATGAGTATTGCAGCCTTTGTTTCTCTGACGCTTTTGTTTGGGGCTTTTTTCCCCCCCAAGATCTATTCCATCTTCCTTCTCCTATTTATTTTAGTTTTGCCAGGAATCTATATGGTATTGATATTTCTTGTCATAGCTACAGAAATCAAATGACAGCTCCTTAAGGTATTTTTCACTTACTAAAAGAATACCACTTTCCTCTCCTATAACACCCATCAAGACTCCTGCTAATAAAATAATCTACCTCTATGTCCCTCAAGTGAAGCCAAATGCAGAGCAGATTCATGCAACTTGTGCTGTTTCTTTACATTTTCACTACATTTGGATTCTGGTGGAATGCAAGATCACCAACACAAAAAACCCATCATACCCACCAAAAATATGGAAGGATGAGTAAGGCAATGCTAAAAAAGATCATCTCACTTAGCCTTAGCTGAGAATTAGAATTGCTCTTATTTAGTAGAGAAACACACAAAATGTCCTTGTTGAAATCTTTTTGTTGAGTGTAGAGTGAGCCTGTATCACTAGATGAGCTGAGCTATTTAAAATTTATATGAATAAAGAAAAATGAGATAAATTTCGATGAAAGGCCAGAGTAGGTATCTTATTATTAGACATCATGTGTGATGTCTATGGCAAGTGAATGATTAGCAACTTACCAAATTAATAAGGAATAAATACACATCTGAGCTTTATAATGCGCCATCAATCTTGAAAATAGACTATATTTAGCATAATACTGAATTCATGACAAACATCAGAAGAACCACACACCTGCAAAGAACACAAATTATCGTGTGCACTCAGAATGCAAACCGAGAGGCCGAACTGTTCTGCTGAGTGCGTTTGCATTGCTGTAGTCCAGGAGCGGGACGCTCAGAGCAGGAGGTGCTCGTAGCAGCCTTGGGCACGCTGCAGACACGGGATGGGCCTAAGGACGATCCCTCGGAGGGAAAGGTACGGGGAGACGTAATGTTAAGGACACTTAACAGCCCGGCTATTCCGTTACAACTTAATGAAGCTTCAAACTATAACCGGCCATGGCCAAAGGGGGAAAGCATTTCCAGATAAATAATTTAAGTCAGCCGGCACGGCCCCGTCCCCGCGCTCCCCATCCCGAACCAGAAACGGGCCGCGACCGCCCCAGCGCGCCTGCGCACCCGGCCCCACAGAGCGCTGGAACCCGCGGCCGCCGCGCACGGCGCAGCCACCACCCAATGGGCGGGCGGGCCGCCTGTGTTTCCCTCCTGCAGCCAATCAGCGCTCGCTTCCTCCCGCTCTCCGGCCAATGGGAAGGGCGCTCTAGGGCGTCGGTCACATTCAAACCGGGGGCAGCGCGCGGACGTGCTCGGTCGGAGCCGCGTCCCGGCCCCGCAGCGGCCTCGGTGAGGGCGGCTGGCCCGGGCGGGGGTAGGGGCGGTCGGGAAGGACAGCGAGGGGGAAGGGACCGGGCCGGGGAGCAGCGCAGTGAGGGAAGGTGGGTGACGGGGCCGGGGGGCAGCAGTGGTGCTGGTCTGCGGTGAGGCCGTGGGGGTGCTGGGCTGGCTCCTCGGCAGCCCCGGGGCTGCGGCTTCGCTGGGCTTCCGCCCCTCAGGGGAGGAAAGCTGGTTGTGTCTTCCGCCTCACGGTCTTTGTGCTACATTACCTCACCTGCTCCGCTGCTGCTCAGTCTCTCTCTTACTTACCCCAACTTTGCATCCTGGTGTCTTATCCTTCCTGTGTCTTAGGTTAGATTTTAGTATTTTTCTATTTTATTTCTTTCCTAGTGTTGCTGGGGTTTTTTTTCGTGTTTATTTTTTTTTTAATTGACCACGCTTTTTCTTAGTGTTGGGAGTTTTTGTTTTTCTTTAAAAAAAATTCCTGATTTAGGACTTGTAAATAAAATAGAAGGAAGATTATGCAGTTTTATGGATAGTATTTTTTTAAGGCTGGGTAGATATTTCAGAAAGAGGTGTTATTTTACCTCTCTATAGAAGATAAACAGAACAAGTAGTGTAATACAGTAAATAAAGTATTTCAAGACTGGATGCTGTTACTTCTTTTTATTATTAATGAGTATTTTTGGGTGTGTTAGATGTGGAATCTTACCACCAAGCTTGTACTGCCACTTTATCCATTTACTGCTCTCAAGTCTTTGTCCTTTGGCTCCTTGTTTAGTAGGTCGGCGTGAGGGGTTGAAGTTACTTTAACAACTATACTTTATTTAGGGTAGTTCTTGCTGATCTTTGCATTACGTGCTCTCCCTGTTCCTGGTTCTCCCTAACCTTCTCTCCTGTAGGCATTTCTGCATCTCAGGAATGCTGCAATGGAGCTGGTGCAGATACTGCCTCAGTTCCCATTCAGTGCCTTTGTAACAGCGTGTGCCTGGTTTAGGTCTTTGCTGTTGTCAGATTTTAAATATATATACATATATACACACACACACCAGGGAAATTCATGACAAATTATTTCTTTAAGAGTAATTATGCAGCTAATTAAGAAAAAATGAAGCTCTGAATACTTGCTTATGGTTGAATATTGGCATGAGTAGAAAGATTGCTGGCAAATCATGACACTATTGTAGATGAATGTGCCCTTAGTGTACTTTTTAGTCTCTGAAGGTCACAGTAAGCTGACGCATTTGAAAGTGCTTGTCCTCATTCAAAGTGTTGTCTTTAAGCTTTTTTAATTCTGTTTTTATTTCTAACTAGAAGTAGTTTAATTGATTTTGATGAAAACTGTATATCTGGGATATGAAGATTAGGCAAGCTTGCACAATAAGCTTTCAGTGTTTCACCCATCAATTTTTGACGCACAGGAACTTCTTCAGGATGGAGAACTTAATTTCTTGCCTTTGGGTTCTTGGGATCATCTGAGGTAGTCTGGCCCTCATCCATCTTACCTTTTTGACAAGGCACATCCATTCTTCAGGAGAGTTTTTCTCTGTAGCACATTGAACCTAGAGCAGTTAAACAGCGCACCAGAAATGTAAGTTTGATGTGTATTGTTGTGACTTAAGATGAAATTTATACAGAAATTTATTTTTCTTTTTGTCTACTGCCTTTGGGAAACTGTTGTTGCAGGAAGAATAATGAATCTTTGATACTGGTGGGGAAAATATAAAGACTGTGTTTAAGAAATCCAAAATCCATCTGGGAATTCTTAGCAGTTATGGTTGTAATGAGATATTGTGGTGTTTCTTAACATGAGGTAAATAAATTTCTTTTGGTTGTCTTGCTGCTTCAGGTTCTGGAGAAGCTGACTTCATCCATACTTTGAGGGAGTGGGTACAGTTGAAAATCAGATCTCTGTGGATATTCTCACCCATAAAGAGGTGATTTGGAGTACCTGGTTTCCTGTAGCCCCTTCTGCAGTGTTTTTAAAAGGCAAAACTGCAATGCATACTAAAATTTTCCTTATGAAGTGAATAAGTATCATCTGAACAGTGTTAGCTATAGTAATCACCTATGTAATTTTTAGCAGTGTGCTCCCCAAAAGATGTTTGGGATGGGACAGTTTACAGACCCACTCCCAGAGCCTAAATTGGCTCTGGGGGAGAAAGAGATATTAAAGCAAGATCCAAACAAGCATTGAAATTAAAATCTGTTCAGTGTACATTTTGGAATATAAATAAGAGAAGGGTTCCTTTATTTGCTTCTGTTCAATGAAACAAAAATAGTATTTCAGATACTACTGATTTAGCATGCAGTCTTTAGCTTTCAAAAGATTTTGGGGTGTTTTCATCATAGGTCTTGCCTGAGGCTATTTGAGTGTCTCTCCAGACCCTTAATGTGCTAAGGCCTCTTCACAGTGGGAATGTAGATGGTGCTTTTGCTGGACTAAGTCTTGGAATTTACACAGTGACACTGTGTTTTGAACCTACAAAACAACACTTCTGTATAGGCAAGAGCAGGCTTGGTATTCTTGGTGGGCCATATTTAGGTCAGGATGAACATGGAATATGCCTTCTTTTGCCTTATAAGCAAGCTCTTGCAAGCATGATAATCTTTCTGATTTATGGTCTTTGCTTGGGGAAAGCTGGGAGCCTGGTGCTTTTAAAGACATGCCAGCTTCTGGTGAGTAATGCTCTAAAAATTATTTGTGGGACTTCCTGAGAGTGGTGCCTGGTGTATTTTTTAGATAGTGGGGTTAAAGGTAGATGAGCTTCATTCCATTCAGTTCCCTCTCTAGCAATAATTCACCTAGAAGTAGATCTGAAGTTTCTAACCTTCTAGCAACTTTTTGTTGATTTGTTATACACAAGAGGACAAAAACCAACATTTCACTGTAGAACTGAACTTAGTCTTTCTTTGAGCCTATTTAATCTGTCTGAAGTGCATTACTTTCCTTGTTTCTGGGCCCAACTTCACAGTAATTAGAATGTCAAACCCCCTGAATATGCACTAAATTCATCACAGTTTTTTCTGGAATTCTTATGTTCATTAGATGCATGGAACATTGATGTGGGAAAAACTGTTTAATGTAGGCAGAAAAGGAAGAAATCATTAGGGTTTTTTTAGTTTATTTTAGCAGTCTTGCTCTGCTCAGATTGCCTAAATTCTTACCTCTCAGCTATATACATGTGCTATCTCAGATGATGATAAACTGTCAGAACATTGAGGATTTGGCATAAGTTTCTTATAAGAAGTCTTTGAATTCTAAACCTCCTTTCAGAAACTTAAAAATAGGTGTCACTTGTCTTTGTCCTTTGAACAGAGGAGAATGTGAATTCTTTTCTGCTTAACCCACTGTGAGAACTAATTGCTGTAACCTGTGGGAAAGAGCATGGATTAACGCTGTGTGCTAAACTAAAGCCAGCCTAATTATGAGTACAGAATGTGATTTAATGTGATGGACTGGAAGCTATTTCAGGCAACACATCATACCCTCCATTTTATTCAAACACTGAATATACCTGATTGGAAAGGGCTACTGTGAAGCATGAATTAGGATTTGGGTGGATCAATTAAGTACCAATTCTTTTTATTTGTCCAAGTTGTCTTCTGTAAAGTAGTTTACTTGTATAACTACATTGACAAAGGCTTAAATAGAGTATTTGTTACATAATGTGGTTGAGTCTCAAGTATCTCTCATGTATCATCCAAATGATACATGAGAGGCTTTCCCATGGTAATTCCAAAGTGAGCTACAACAGGGCTCTTCAGTAACTCCATTGTTTTTTAACCTTGTGCCTGCAGATGGAGGAGGCAGACCTAAGTGAAAGAGGATTGCCGCAGATTACATCAATCATGAATAGAGTTAGAAACTTGAAAAACAAATACAGAAATGAAGAAAATATCACAGATGAATTTAACTATACTAAAATCTCAGCTGATACAACAGGTATTTGGATTTGTTTTTCTACTGTCACTTATGCAAAAGATCTTAACATAGATTGAGTGAAAGAACCATTAACTGAAATGATTTCGAGTTTAGTGTTTCTTTAGTATTAATGACCACAAAGCTAATTTCATCTCTCCTTATTTTTAGCTCTGTTGCTTTAATCTTATTTAAAAAATAGTCAGTAACTGTCTTGCACAAAAGCTTATAAAAAGTGTTTTCTTCTGTACATGTTTGCTGATGTTGTAATCAATCTCCTTTTTTGTTTTTCTATCAGATAATTCTGGAACTGTCAATCAAATAATGATGACAACAAACAATCCAGAAGATTGGCTATGTTTTTTACTTAAGCTAGAGAAAAAGGGTGTTCCTCAGATGGATGTTAGCCTACTCAATAGACTCATTGGCCGTTACAGTCAAGCAGTGACTGCATTACCTGCAGAAAAGTACAGTCAAGATGAGAGCTATGCTCGCATCCTTGTGAGATTTGCTGAGTTGAAAGCGTAAGTATAAATTTTCAATATGAGAACTCATCATTCTATTTTTGAATTAAGGTAAGAATACCTTGTTTCATTAGTGTTTTCTGCAACAAATTATCATTTTAAGTGTGGAAGGTAAGTAGCTTTGGTTAGTCAGCTTATCTGCTGTCTCCACAGTATTTTTTATGCTAATAAACATGATTGTTTAGGACTATTTGATTTAGAGATGTTAATACGCTACTTTTTTTCTTGGTTCTCTAAATAAGGTACAAGGGGGAATGGCATGAAATCCTTTTTTGAGCTTTATTTTAGTATGCTTCCTCTCTTACGAGACAAGATCATTGCAGGTTGATTAATTAACTGTCTTAGGATAGAAAGAATGTCTCAGAACATCATTCACCAGTTCCACACTTTGAAAATTAGTTTTGGTTGTGGTCATTTACTGCTTTATTCAGTCCAAATTTGAGCAGTGTTGTTGTTCAGATGTGTTCAAACATAATTTGGGACAGGATTATAATTAGAATCTTTTTCGTAATAGATTCTTATGTCACTTGAAATAGTACAGCAAGTATTTTGATGAAGAGCTGTATTTAAACAATGCAGCAATCTAACAATCAGAGCTGAGCAAGTTAATTTCCAGTGAACATAGCTAATCTTTTTCTTGTATGTTCTTCCTCTATTTGACTTTTTGGCATATGGTTTCATCTTGCAGTATGATAAATGTCTACTTCTCTGCACTGTCCTTTGCACAGACCTTGCTGCATCACTGTTACTAAAAGCACGCAGTGGAAGTAATCTGTTGAATCTCCTGTTGAGAAACAGGAGTGAATAATGACCTAGTCAATCTTCAGTATCTTGAAGAGGGAAGGTGTTTTTGTGTAAGTGGAGGAAAGAATCTCTTCCAGAAAGGTTTAAGGATACATTGCAAGATGTCATTCTTATTCAAAGATCAGTTGCTTTTCCTCAGAGCAGAAACTGTAATATAGGCTTCTGGATCCTAGTTTGTGGAAATTCTTTTCCAGAATAGTGATCAAGTCACATTTCTTATCTTATTGTAGGAGAGTTTAAGTTCAGAAAGATTATTTCCTACCTCCCTAATCACTTGGACCTATTTTCACTTGATCTTTAGAACATGGTTTGAAACGTGGGGTACTTTTAAGATGTGGGCAAGAGTTATGTTCAAAGGTGCTGTCAGTAGCTTGTTAATACATGAATAGTATGAACAGTTCTAGTAGTGATGTCTCACTGAAATATCTTCAGTTGTTTCACTGCTACAGCCTCTAGGGACTTTGTGGGAAAGTAGTGTCTTGTTTCACTATTAAAATGCATTCTGCAGGTGTACTAAAATAACTTCTACTTTAGCAGCCAGTATTACAGAATTTACCTATCTCACAAAGTAGCTCAGGTCTGCTCTTTTTGTTTTCTGCTACATATTTTTAAATTGGTAAATATCATCAGTCATATGTTTCTTGATGTGCCTAATAAAAATTTCTTTTAAAAAGATGAACAAGCCACTCCAAACTCCTTTAAAAACTGTACCCACCAAAATCTGATATAGCATCAATCCCACTGGAACTTCACTATAGGATCTCCCTAAATGATGGTTCCTCATTTGGAAATTACTTTCAGATACAAGCTTGTTAATAATTTTTATAATCTAATACTTTCTTGTTCAGAATAGCATATAATATCAGTTATTTATATGAGACTACATTTATGAACTACATCTGTAATCTCACCAGCAATGAAATTACTTTTGCCTGATTGGACCTAAAAACCAACAACGTTGATTGTAATTTTTGGAGATTAACCTAATCAGTGGCTACCTATTTGGATCTTTTGTGTTTGGCTTGTTTACTTACTGCTCATAGTGTATTCTCATTGCTCCAAATTTTTTGTTCTCAATTTCCCTGGTGTTCTATACTCTACCTTCTCTGTTCCTGGCTGTCAGTTTGTCCAGTACTATATATTTTTGTCTTTACTTGGTTTTAGGTTCTGTTAAAGAAAATCCTCTCATTTCATGACTCTGAGTGCTTCTAGTTTATTTTTTAGCTATTGCAAGTAAAGCAATATTGATACTACAAGTTAAGTGACACTGATAGGTGCTCTGGTACTACCTTGGCTGGGAGAAGAGATGTGCTTTTCAGTAGAATTGTTTGCTGTTCTCCCAAATATTCCACCTAAACAAGGTGGAAGAGCAAATCAGCATCACAAACTTCAAAAGCAGTGGTAGTGGCTTGAGATTTTAGTATCTACTGCCATCAACACTATTTTGTTCTGATTGCAGAATGCTAAGTGGTTGGAATGGATCTTAAAGATCATCTAGTCCCAGCCCCTCCTGCTGTAGGCAGGGATACCTTTCACTAGACCAGGTTGCTCAAGGCTTTTTCTAGCCTGGCCTTGAGTGCTTCCAGGGTTGAGGCATCCACAGTGTCCCTAGGTAACCTGTTCCAGTGTCTTCAGGGTTACCTCTTTATTGTGACTACCATAATTTAGGCCACCTAGCTGAAGTTCCTTCTTTCATTTTGTACCCATTTTTCCTAGTTCTACCATTAGAGTTTCTGACAATAAGTCCCCCTCTGGCTTCCCTACAGGCCCCCTCCAGGTACTGGAAGGTTGCTGTGAGGTCTCCATGCTATCTTCTCTTCTCCAGGTGAACAGCCCCAACTTTTCTAGCTCATCTTCATAGGAGTGGTGCTCCAGCTGCCTAATCATCTTTGTGGCCCTTGTCTGAACTTGTGCCAACAGGTCCTGTCTTTTTTTATGTTGGGAGCTGAAGGCAGTGTCTCAGGTGGGATGTCCCAAGAGCAGAGGGGCAGAATCACTTCCTGTGACCTGCTGGCCATGCTCCTTTTGGTGCACTCCAGGATTCTGTTTGGCTTTCTGGGCTCCAAATGCCCACAGCTGGCTCATGTTGACTTTTTCATCAGCCATCACCCCCAAGTCTTTCTCCCCAAGCCTGCTTGCAATCACATCTCCGCCCAGCCTTTAGGTGAGAAACTGGATTATTCCATTCTTGGCACTGGACCTTTTTTGTCCTGGTGTCTGCTTTAGCTGCAGTCTGGCTGTGCCAATACCTTTTGACCTATTGTGATACCAAGGTTGTCTGAAGAACTCTTGTGTGCTCTGAAATAGTTCAAGACAGCAAATGCTTCAATGATTTTCTGTGTTGTACATTTTCAATGGCAAACCTGCTCTTGTGAGGTGCTGCTGGCGGTAGCACAGTGCCACCAAGCGTGTGACACTTGGTGCCTATTGCTAGTGTTAGGTCTTGTTTTGTGTATTGCTATCCAAGCTGTTGCTGCTTTCTACAGGAACCTAAATTTTAACAAGCTCTTTGAAAGTGAATGTAATACATTACAGCTTAATTTCTCTGGCTCAGACTTTGCCTGCACATGGGTTATTCTGTACCTGTCTTATTGCTTTGGATGATCAGAGCTGAGTTCAGTAAAATGAACAACTTCTTTCATTCAAAATTTCATAGAATTCTACTGAAAATGTTCTTTGCCTTTCCATGTTGTATTTTTCTGTACTTTTAATTTGAACTATGGTCATAAATTTTTTGCTCTTCCACTTCTAAGTGATACCTTTGGGTATCTGTTGAGTCAAGGGGGAACTTAGGAAAGAATTCCTTTATCTCTTGATTACAGATGTTGCTGGTAAAAGTGTTAAGCTCCTTTTTATTTTTTGTCAGTTGAAACATAACATTAATGTATTATGTAGTGATGTAGATTTAGGCCTTTTGTGTCTTGACTGGTATTTGCAGTGGCTGTAGTTGCTCTCAAATATTTAAATGTTGGTGTGCTGTGTGTAAGCATGAACCTGCTCAGCAATCTGTGGCTGAATGTAACACTAGGATTAAAATTTGCCAAAAATGAACTATCAAGTGTGAAAGAGCTTAAGGATTGAGTCCCTTGAGTTTTGGGAAGGTTTGGCTTGATGTCTTTCAATAATTAGAGTTTAAGATTGTTTCACTATTTGTAGTTCACTGATTGCTCTAAGAAAAAGGAAAATCTTTAGCCTATAGGTGGGTTACTTTTTCAAAGTTATTCAAAGGCTTCATCCAGTACATGGAACTTCATCCTTCTCAGGCTCTTCACCTTGTATAACTATGAATGTGCTGTCTTTACAGGCTTCAAGATCCAGAGGAGGCACGGGACCAATTTCATCTGGCCAGACTGAACTGCAAGAAATTTGCTTTTGTGCATGTGGCTTTTGCACAGTTTGAGCTATCACAAGGTGTGTAAAAAAACAAGAACAACTAAACTTGTTTGGTGTTGCTGTTCTGTGTTCTCTGTTTTGTTGGTTCAAACTTCTGCTCCCTTACATAATTTGTAAGTAAACTGATAGGTATTGAATCAGAAAGAAAAAAATTGGTATTTTTTAAATTGAAATTTACTGAGAATGTGTGTTCACTTTTAAAGTGAAAATATGCACACAGATCATTGGGATTTTTTTCTGTTTTAGAAATAACTTTCAAACTAGGTGAAAATTATTAGTAATTTCTACTTCTCTAATTTAGATCTTGCAGTGAAAGGCTTTTGAGTAAGGCTCCTCCTGCATGGAAAAGTGAGGCTCAAATACTTTGCTTGCTTGTGGAAGAAATTCTGTCCTCTTCTAAAAAGCATTTATAGATTGGTCTAATAAAAAACAAAGTACACTGTCAATGTGCAGTTTGGTTGCCCTGGTACTTGCTGGCAAGGCTGTGTTGGCTGCCCACAGGCTTGTTTTTTATCTTTTGTTTCCATGGGTGATTTGAGCAGTGACATATTTTGCCCTGGATATTTCTTCCTTTGACAGTTTGCTCTGTACAGAAAGACAAGCGCATTCCATGAAAGCTGTTTTCTTATTTGAATGGAAAAGACTTGATGAATGTATTAATTTTTTTTGTGATTTGTTTTCCTTCATGTTTTTTTTCAGTATCGTGCAAGTTATTGTATATTGTTGTATATATTTCTTATACTGCCTAGTATGAGAAATTCTCCCCAAATTTAGACAGATTAATTTTAGTGTAGCTATTTTACACTCTAAATTCTGAATACATTTTACTGGTTATCTTTCTTTACTTCTGTTTATTTTCCACTGATAGTGGTTTTGCTCCAGTACTACTTTTAAACTGTATTTTAAGATATTGTTTAGATGCTCATGAGGCAGAGCCATTTTGTTAAAATCAAAGTAGATACTCATTTGTCATCTCAGATTTTCCAGTTTTTCTTTTGCGATAAATTGATTTGCATTAGAGCAGGAAAGGCCATGAACCAACTCCCCCCTCCCAGAAGTACATGTTATGTTTTGTGAATGACTCCTGTACAGGATGGGGGAAAAAAAGACAAATTTGCATGTTTGTGTCTGGAAATTGCACAGTTTCTGTGTTATGCCTAAGTCAGTTATCTGACCAGTCTTGTTCTAATATAAATTTGTGGTATTGAACTTCTAAACAGTAGTAAAAAGAATATAATTATTTAGTGAGCACTGGATGTTTATTTAAACAGATAATTAAACACTAATACTGCAATAACAAAGATATTGTTAAATAAGTGTAATAAAACCTATTGTGTAATTTAATAAAGTGTAGAAATGCTGCTACAGGTTACCAGTGACTAAATTCATCCTGTAGTTATGGCATGTGTTCATGCAGTAGTTTACCTTACTTTGACAGTAAGTAATCAACCTAGAATGAAGTCCTAATCCCAAAGGAAATAAGCCAGTTATGATCGGCTTTGTTTTATCTGCAGTGTGCTCTCTGATTTGTATCTGTTACCCTTGAGCTGATCTAGGTGTCCTTTAGTAATGTGTATGGAGCTACAGCGTCCCTGCTGGGTGCCTCAAAGAGGATTAGTGCAACATGTGAGTTGTAAATTGTTACTTAAGAGTGCTGTTCCTTTTTCACTGTGTCCACTTAGGCCAGAGGGAAAGGAGGGTAGTGCTTCGTTGCTTCTTCATCCCAGTGTTTTCAGCAGTGCTTGGCACACCTGTCATTGCTTTCTTTTGCATTAAGAAGAAAAAACTTAATTGCATGTTCTCTTCCTTAGCTCACAGTTTTGCTCAAGATAAAAGCTCAAGTTGTGAAATTAGATTTGGTAAATTGATGTTGATTTCTTAATAACTGAATACTAGTGACCTGGAAATGGAGTGACACAGTAAAGGTGCCATTCTGTTTTTTTGTGGCTCTTTTTTTACTAAAATACTTAGTAAAATTTCATTTAAGTCCTCCAGATGAGGGGGGACTGTCTTGTCATTACTTGGGTACCTTGGGTGGTGTGCTTGAGGATGATTGCTGTGAATTGGTCAGAACTCATGACCATAAAATTCTACTCTTGACTCTTTCAAATCTTATGCCAGGGTGCTTGATTCAGGCTTTTGGCATGTGATGAAGTGGACTGGTTGGAATTCAGAAATACTTCTGGCTTGATTTTGTGCCTTGGTTCATCATTTGTTAAGGGGGATGAAAGTTTTTCACATACATGTTTTGATGTCATGCTCTTTCTTACTCAAGGAGGCACACAATACTAGGAGGAATTACTTTTGAGTAGCAGGTCTTGTTGAAGCAATGTGTGGTTACTAAATATAGCAAAAGTTAGAATGCTGGCTAAAGATTCTTAGAGGCTATCCACTTTGCTAGTGATTTAGGAGAAAAAACAGTATTGGACTATATGGTTAAAAATGAAATTCTGACAAATTAGCACAAAATTTATTTAAATGAAATTATAGCTCATCTAATTTTGGCCCTTCCTTGCTTCAGTGTTTGGCATCATCCATTTAATAGTCTTAAAATAGATTACTTAAAGCATAAGTTCCTGGTACCTACACTGCACTTCCACCAACCTGAACTACATGCAAAGTGATATCTAACTTCATTTATGAGTGGAGTTTTGAGTGCAGGGGACATGCATATGCTATTATGCATATACTCGAGTATTTCTTATATATGTGGCATGAAGGTAAGAACCAAGTAGTTTGTTTTGCTGCTTTGGAATGGAGGAAGAAGGGCATTTGGGGTTTCAGGGGCATTGACAGCTGTAGCAAAACATTGCATCATTTTGCCCAGATGTTCATCAAACCAAGTAAAGTATTGTGGTTACAGTACACTTTTTTTCCTTTATTTGACTTTTTCTAATAGATGCCTATGCACTTGTTTGCATATGTAAATTGACGGCTTCAATATGTCTTGTTAACACATTCCCTTTCCCACCCCCATCTCTCTTCAAAGTTCTGTTTATGCCATTTAGTAATGTCTAAAACTGTAATGAAAAAATATCCTTGCTTTTCTCTCCTTTTTTCTTAACTGTAGTGCTGTCCAGAGTTGTTTTATTTAGCAACATCTGGTTTTAAATGTGATTTCTATTAAGTGCATTACAGATGTTTAAGAATATTTACATAATAATATTTTTACCTGGTCAGATCTAAATGGAAGTCCATAAAAGTCATATTTCCTTGCTGATACAACAGAAAAAAAATGGCTTTTAGAATGAGTACAATTTTCTTACAGTTCCTATAACCCTAAAAAAATACTGAGATTATGTATTTTGTGACTTGGTGTTCAATTTAATGTGAAAAACTGACTTGTGTGATTTGCTTTTAACTATTTCCAGGCAGTTTCCTTAAAATGCCAATGTAAGGGGAGGTGTCCCTAATGAACAGTGGCTTCATAGAACTATGCAAAGTGAATATAAGACAACATGAATGTAACCATCTCGTTAAAACATCTTGCCCCAGTGTAATGGTTTTTTTACTTCTGTGATTTCTAACTCTGTGCTTCTTACACTTAGAAAATGAGAAGAAGTGTAAGCAGATCCTTCAGAAAGCTGTGGAGTGCTCTGCTGTTCCTCTGGAATTGTTGGAAACTGCTCTACAAAACTTACATTTGAAAAAAAAGCAGTTACTCTCAGATGAGGAGAAGGAGAACTTTGCAGGTAATTGCAATTTCTTAAAATACTGGTTGCTTATGCATGTTGTGATTCTAGATTGGAAAAAATCACTAGTGTTTCTCCCTTCTAGATATAAACTCAGAATCTCTATTGCCCAATAAACAGATATATGTCTGTATTATAAATCTCATTGCTTCAATGCTTGTTTCCATCTTCAGTGCAGTGACTGCAGTTTGCAGGAGCTGTGCTATGGTCAACCCTGATTCTGCACAGGATGTTCCTCTGGCTGTCATCAGGGATTTGCAGTTTGTAATAGAGACTGGCAGCTCTAAGTGTGAAGGAAGAGCTGCTGTTGGTGGAGAGGAATTAGGACTGAAATATACAGACTAAACTACACTTATATAGGTTGCTTGGAGGTGTATCTTGTGACAGACTGGGAAACAGTTGACAGTCATGTCAGTGAAGTCAAATCTAGGAAAAGTAATCCATTTCTACTTGATTTTGGAGAAAACTCGTGTTTGTCAGTACAAAACTGAAGTGCTTGGCTGTATCATAAATCCTAAGTGATCCTTATTGATGGATATGTAATTTCAAAAAGGGAACAGTTATTTCTTGAACTTTTCAAGAGTTAAATTTGTTTGGAGTGGAATTGAGCAAAAAATGTGGTTTGACTTCAGTATTGAAGTGTGTGTAGCTAACTCTTTCAAGAGTGATGTCTAACACTTCCATGTTTTTGCATTGTGTAAAGACAGGATTAATGTAAAATAAGTCTGATTTAATTTCCTTAGGGATATATCTTCAGGAGTGGTATTTGAGATTTGCTTGGCACCTATTGAATCAACATTTGACTGAAATACTAGTGGGGGTGAACTCTTTGAATAGTATTCAGCTATGGCATTCATTTCTAATAAACTCTATTTTCTGTCTTATTCTGTTTATCATTAATTTGATATAGACATCATAAATGCCACTGCTGATGTACTGTGCCACAGGAGAATATCTTGAAGGATACCAATATCCTTCATGGATTGTATCATTTTTTGCTGACATTGACTTGCTGCTGCAGGGCTAAGGAAATACCTGTGAGAATGAATGGCAAAACTCTACCTGCCAGTTAGGAAGTAGAGAACTTTGGGGCAAGAGTACGCTCATTTATTTTTTTATATATATAGGTTTGTAATTAGGTATTTGAAAAATGCAAACTATTAATTTAGTTATTTAAAGATTAAAGTTTAAAAGGTAAATAACACCCGACTTGAAATATCTCAAACTCTGGGACATAAAAGGGGTAAATCGCTGAATTTGGCTTTAAGTGAATTTGTATGGTCCTCTGGAGCAAGAGAGGTGATTTTAGTATATTGGCATATAGGTATTTTTTGTATTACCATTTGAAGAGTTGCTTTTGAAAGTTTTTTTTTATTTGAAAATATGAATGCTGTATATGTAAATGCATTTGTTCACAGCTTCAAAAGATTGTACAGAATGTTTTTGACAGTTATGTGCTGTTAGTGTTGTGATGCAAATATAAACCATGCATCAAGTCTAGAAACCTTTGGATTAATGCCTTTTTTTCTCTTTCATTTGCACACGGCAATCTAAAGTATTTGGCATACCAGGTGCAATCAAACATGTTCAGTTGGGAAAAGGTAGTTTAGTATTTCAGAAATGCAGGTCATGCAGTCCAGCTGTGGTAAGGAGTATCATAAGAGGCAGATAGGCTGTCTTAGAGTGAAGGAATGAAAGTATTGTAGATCACCAGCTGGGTGTGAGAGTCCACTGGCCAGCTTGGTGGTTCAAAAAAAACAATCTTTGGGGAAAAAAGTATGAGTTGCATTTGTGAGATGGTGATGGTCCTGGTTGGTAATAAAACTACACTGTACACTGAGGCACTTGTTTTATTTAAATGAGTGGTTTGGTCTATTGGCCTAAGTAGTTTGTAAAACATTAAGTATTAGAAATAGCCAATACTGCATTGTTCATCTACCAGAAGTCTGACTTCTGGCTGAAAGTAGAAAAGGGGTATGGGAGAGTTCAAAAGAAAAGTAAAATCCATTTTAATGAGCTAAAACAAATTTAAACATGTTAAGTGCTATATTAAAAAATTTAAGTCCTTAAACTGTGATTTATTGGAAGGCTGTGGGTAGCTGTGGATCTTGTTGATCAAGCAGATAATTTCCAATATTGATGGAACACAAGGCCTATGTGATGTAAAAGATCATAATATATAGTATCTTAGTTAGAATCTTGGGTTGGAAGGGACATTGGAGGGGACATCTAGTTCCAACCCATTGCTATGGGGCAAGAATACCTTCCACTAGACCAGGTTGCTCAAAGCTTTCAACCTGGCTTTGAACACTTCCTGCTGCCTTTGATTTTTTTTTTTTTAATATGCTCTTTGGTGTCTGTCTTAAAAAAAAAAAATCTTGTAGCATTGAAGAGATCTTAATCAAAATAACCAGATACTAATTTACATTTTTGAAAAGGGGTTTGTTAGGAAAATAGCTGAGTTCAAGTGATTGTTTATCTGAAGGTGCTTAAAATAGCTTGTACTCCACATTGTTCCCTAAATGTTGAATTAAACTGTGTTGTAATGTGAATGTGTGTTCATTAAGGTGTTGATACATTTTCATTAGTGTATTCTGAGTTTTTGTGGTTTCTTTGTCTTTGAGAAATGACCTTACCTTCACCTGTAGAGAAAAATAATGTGGAAGACAGTGTTGTTCTGAACTGTTTATTTGTGGGCTTGAGGTTCTATAATGACTTTTCAATTAACTTGAATTCTGGTTATGTTTATATCTGAAATATATACTTTCACAAAGTTTAAGTTGACTTGACATTTAATTTTAAGATTAATGTGCAACTTCATAAAACTACTGCTAAATATTCAATAATCAAGCAAGAGTCTCTTCTGGATTAAGATGGGGCTGGTGAATGAGCTTTTTGCTATTGCCTGCCTTGATACTCCCTGACCTCGCACAGCTTATATGACCACTCTCAAATTTGCTATCAGTGAGATCAGCTGGTTCAATTTAACCCAATTAGTAGCTTAGACTAATTTAGTTGAATTTGTCTGATATGATCTGAATGATTCTAACTATTTTCCCTACAGTATCAAGTACACAGGAGTCTGGACTTCAGAATATAGGTGGAAATCACAGAAGCTTAAAAAAGAATGATTCTAATGAAAATTCTTCTACTATTAACAGATCTTTATTTAGGTAATGTCTTAATTTCTTATTTAATGTCTTATAACATCATTTAAACCAAAAGCAAATACATACACTACAGTGTTGTGTGTTTTGTTTTGGGGTTTTTTTTTATTTTTTTCTTTTAGGGAAGAGAAGTCACAGGAGCTGGGTGCTCTAGTTAATTACCACAATCCATTGAGACCACTAAACAAATCTAACCAGGTAAAACATGTAACATTTTCTTTAAAATCTTAAACTCTTTTTTTTTGCTGGACACACCTGGTAACTTTTGAATTTGTTCTAAGATTTGCCCATTTGGGAGGATTCCTGTTACCCTAGTATCTGATGATGGTGATGACATGGAGGATTCAGATGTCCCACTCACAGCTAGTATTACAAAGAGGTATGGTTATTGGATTTACCTACAGCACCACAGACTTTAATATTCCTTTTCAATGATACTTTTATTGGATAGTGGAAATGTCAGATGTCAATGTCAAATTTGACCTGAAGGATAGAGACAAATAGTCATTATACTTGCAACAGATAGTGCATTAACCTACTTCTAAGCTTATGGAAATTCTTTGTACAAAAGTATGTGAAGATGAAGAGAAAATGTGTTCTGGCTAATCAGTAAGCTCAAAAGAAATGGAAATTGAAGAAGAAATAAATTTTGTTCAAAGTATCTAAGTTTATGTAGTCCAGTTTTTAAAATAAGAGAAAATACAGTCTTGTAACTCAAGTTATTTTTTAAAATCCTCATTTTGTAGCTCTTCTTTGTATTGTTTCTGACTTTGCTGAGTGGACCTGCTTTTCTGTATATTTAAAACTTGTAGCCAGAAGTCTTCACACAACTACTTTTTTCATCTCATTCACAAAAAAGACCATTGCCACACTGTGTTGGCATGGAATGTAACTAAGAATGTTACTTCAACAGGCAAATGTCCCACTCCAAACAAACAGCCTTTGTTGCACCTTTTCCACCATCAGAACCAAAACCTTGTGGGCGTGATTCGTGCAACCCGGGAGATTTGCAGGTAACTTAAGTGTTTTTTAAATATATGGAGGAACTCTAGCTATCCTATGATATTAGTAAAAAAGATAATAACAGCTTTTTCAATTCAAGAAAGAAATAATGCAGGATTTCCCTTTAAGTAATCATTTGTGGATAGAAACATTGATTATGGCTTTTAAACTTGAAATTTGTTATGCATAATAGGGCATTATAAAAGAGCTTTCTCTGAACAGTGCATCTGATGGGAGCAGTGGGAGTGGTGTTTGGAATATGATTTATGAAGAGGAGATAAACATATTTCAACCTGACTACAGTACCTTTTTCAGCTGAAGTCATGTAGTTTACCATGGGAAGACCCTATTTAAGGAAGTCAATTCAACTCAGTGCTCTATGGAGCCATAAATTACAGCTTTTAATAGAGATTTTTTTATCAAAAACCAAATGTCTTGCATTTCTATGTCTTACATTTTCATGTCCCATGTCCCCATCTGCTAAAAGAATTCCAGAATAGAAAGCACTTAAAGGCCTTTATAGAAACTGGATTATGAAAATTCAGAGTGTTGATGTATTTAAAAATAGCATCAGTAATACTTGTCTTTGTAACCTGCACAGTTCCCTGAGGCATGTTTGCTTTGCAGTGCACCTGCCACTTAATCACCGTAAGGAAATGTCTTTTGTATACTATTTCTGAGTTTTCCTTTGATTCTTTAAGATGCTTTTTATGTTCTTTAGTCCTTACAAGAAAAAACAGCTTTACAGATGTTGGATGAGGGCAGCTCAGAAACAGCTACCAGTTCAACTGTAACTCTCAAAACCAAAGTGGATGCAAGTCTTGTGACAAAAAGAGCAGGTAACTATTAATGTCATGTATGAGTAGTTTGAAATAGAATAAGCATTGAGAATGTGCTATTCTGTATTTTTTAAAAAATGTGTTGCTAAATAAAAAAAAGTGGAAGTTACTGCATTATTAACATACCTTTGGAGAACAATTCTTCAAGTTCTTTTAAAAACAGTTTTTTGTATTTCAGAAATACTTCACTAGATGTTGCATGGATTTTGACTGTTGTGTGAAGTCAGCTAAAAATAGTGATGGTATTAGATGACATTCTGTTGGCTTTCTGGAAAATGTTGTAATCGGGTTGGATTTATAGTAAGGATTTCAGGGCTAGTAAAATCTAGAAGGTTGCTATTATTTACCAGCTTCATGGAATATGGAATACATGTACTAACCTCCTATGGTTAGTTGCTAACTACTTCAGTGTTTCATCAGAAAGCTGGTTCCCTAAGTGGTGTTCTCATCCTGCTGAAAAAATTAGGTGAAAAGGTCTAATATTGCAAGAGTTAGATTTAGGATTGTGTAAGTACATATGCATTGTAGGAAAGAAACATTACAGTTGAAAAATTTTTTTTTTTTTTAAACTTCAGTGTCCCCTCAGCTCCTCAGTGAGCTTTTCCCACTGACTTACATTGGGAATAGTTTGGTTTCAGGTCATACTTGCCCTGTTTGTGCTTCATTCATGTTTCCAGGTTAGATGTTGGTTGAAGTAGTTCAGTCCTTCAGCAGTTGACTTGCACCAAGCTGCTCGGCATGGGATGTTGCTTTCTAGTAATTTGAAAAGAAAACTTTTCAGGCTTGTGAAGGAGCACTCTTAAGCTGTGCTGTTTGCAGCTTGCACTGTCACATCCCACCATTTCACTCTTGTACTACCTGTGCAAAAGGAACTAGGAGACAGTGCCAAGTCCCTTTAGGCCTCTGGCTTCAGTCATTGCACTTGGATTATAGTTTGCCTATTGTTGCAGACAACAGACTTCTAATTAGGAGTATGGTAGTAAGCTTATCTTCAGTGCTTTATAAACCTGCTCAATAGCCCGGGATGTTGTAGTATGATTTGTGAACCTACTCTCATTGCCTGTGTTGGTGTAGGAAACAGTTGCATCTCTGTTACTGTTACAGTGTTATCCTAAGACTTTTTGAATAAAGTTGCCATTTTACTACACGGAATTGAACATGCAGCTGAGGACTTCATTAATGTCTTTTAACGCCTAATTCCAGTAAATTGTCTGTGTTTTAGTCTGATCTAGAAAATGAGGTAAAATTATTGTAGTAACTTTTCAAGTGTTGAATATTGATTCATTTTAATAGTCTGGTTTTTGTTTGGGTTTTTTGTTCCACAGAAAATAAAGTTCAGCATCTGGAGCTGAAGACACCAGAGCCCAGGAATCTGGAAAATCAACAGCAACAATCTAGTTTTGGTGAAAGCTATAGAAAGCAGTTGGAGCAGATTAAACTAAACTGTGTTAATGCCAGAAAAAAAATGCCAGCTCAAGAAGTGTCACAGAGAAGCTGCTATGGAGAGGTAAAGTAACAAAAATATACATTACATGTGTGCTAGCAGCCTTCTCATGTTGAAGAAATTATTTCTGTGTTCTTAATTGTGGCTCCTTGTGTAATATAATATCTTGCTTTGCCCTTTGTAGGGAAAACAAATGAACATTGAACAGTCTGGTCATCCTGTTTCAAGACGATCATCACCATCAGATGCTGTTTCTAAGAAAAGTGACCCATCACACATTTATGGAACACCAAGCACCACATCTAATGATTATATGGCCTGGTAATCCTACTATAAGGTGGTAGTTGATCTCTGGAAAGGTTGAAGCAGATTTTTACAGGGTTTGTTAAATTTTTCTGTTCGATAGCAAATATTCCAAGTGCTTCTGTGAAGTGCCTGACTTTGAGATTCAGATTGCATTTAGGGACCTTTGCCTATTTGGGCAGTTTTTCAGCATTTGAATATTTACCATCAAATCAGTAAGTCCCTAGTAGAGTGTTTACCTTTTTCACTGATCCCTGCTACATGACACTTTCTTTTGGATAAATTGTGGCTGAGAGGCTTTTTAGATTGATAATGATATATCAGTTTATTTCCCATGATGCAAGTGTCTGAGATTTTTAAAAGCACTTTGATAAATCCAGAAGCTTGCGGAATTAAGCACTTATGTTAGGAAATTATAGCATTTGTTTATCCATGTTACCTTAAATAAGGCATAAACCCCTATGCCTGTATTGGCAAATCTTTCTAATTATATGATTACTTTTTGTTTTCATAAGTCTCTAGGATGAATCATATAGGTCAAGGTTGTATGCTGAGTAAGTACTGTTCCTTTTGGTAGGACCTCTGTCTCTATAGTTGCAGAATTCAGACTGTAGGTAGGGCATGAACCACATAATTTCATGAAAGAACATGATAATAGTCCTTGAATAAATTCTCTTTACTTAGTTTGTACATGCTAAATATGCAGAATTGCTCAGTGTTTCTATTTCTCTATTTGGACTTGTTTTGTCCTTTTTTTTTTAAACTTCTGTGATTTTACTCTACCAAATAAATCCTAGTTATATACATTTTTTCCAGTTCTGATCTTGGCATTAGTTTCTGTAAATACAATTGGGGAAAAATTTAGTATGTTTAGAAATATAACTAAAGAGATGGTAGACACATCAGGAGAACAAATAAAAAAACCATAGGATTTTTTACAATCTTTAGTTTTTTTAAATCAATGATCTTTCTGCTCATACACAGTGTAGCTAAAGCTCTCAAGGCAATAGTGAGAGTTTTTGAAGTTGTCTGTCTTAATATGCTTACTCTAAAAAATAGGTAATCTAAAAAGTTTTTGAATAAATAACAATAAGCTGGAGAAGAGTAACTGGCTCATACTCTCTTAGAGTCAGCTCTTCTAGCATTATAGTTCCTTCACTTTTCAGTTGCTGGGAAGTGTCAGCTATTGTCTGAAGATAGTGAGTTTGTGTTCTTAAAAGTATTTGCACGGTGGGCCATGGGCTCTTGCTAGTCACTACGGTTTAACTTTCAAGAAACACTGAAGATTTCAACTTTGTTGTTAAAATAATCTTAGAAAATACAACTAATGCAGATACTGTTTATTTTTTTGTTAGTTTCAGTACACCAGTTGTAAAGGACAAGTTTCTGCCAGGGTGTCAAATTTCTACTCCATACAGCCAGTTCCCATATTATTTACCACATACTCCAGCAACTCCATTTCAAAATCAAGTTGGCTTGCAGGTAACAATTTTGTCATTTTAGCACATATTTTCATTGGGAACTACTTTGGGTAAAATAAATGTGTGTGTATATATTTTTTTTCATCTGAAGTTACTGTTCATCTTCCTGGAGGAGTAATGGAAAGTAGTCTAGTATTCCTAAAATAACTTACTTTGTGTGTATGTCTGAATTTAGGTGACCTAAGTCAGATGTTGAAAAATCAGTTCAATTTTGTCAAAATACTGGAGCCTTTGTCTAAGCCTTTTCTAAGCAATCTAAGCCTTTTCAGGTCTCACTTAATGACAGAGAAAAGAACTAGAGCCTCTATTTTTGTTCTGCAGTGCTTTTACACTGGTATTACCCAGTACATTACCATTAAAGAGAAGCAGTGTGTGTTGAAAATCATGAGTTTGAGGGAGGTAAAAGATTGCATTTCTCCATTTTTTTTTTTTTTTTTAGATTTCACAAATTTTGATACATTTGTTGTGGCCTGACATAATGTAAAAATGGGTTACCTTAGATGTGTTGCATATTCAGGTAGGAATCTTCCCAATTGTAGATAAAGCTGGGGGATAGGTTTAAGCTTCCTACCAGAGGATAAGTATTGATAAATTAATAAATCAAACTTGAGACTTTTCTATGGCTTGGTGTAGCAGATATGGGCAATGCAGGCTGTTTCAACTTCACACTACTGCAGTCTTTTAGCTATTAGCTTCAAAAAGAATGGTAAATGGTTTCAGTACAGCTCTTAAGTTTCATGCTGGGACTGAAAGTCTCTTAGGTAGTGTAGTTTCTGACCTTATATGTAAAGAGGGATGTGTCTCTAGTGATCTGGGCAGCCTTATTAAAGAAGATCCTTTTCTTGATTTCCAGTGTGAGGAGCATTGGCACCTTTTACATGAATGCAGTGATGTCACATGCCAAATGATGATCAGTGTATGGGGATCTAGCTTTCATTTAAAGTTTCCTTACTGCTTCTAAACAACTTTATCATCTTCAGAAAGAGCAAGACAACTTAAAGCATTTTAATGTAATAAAAGTAGAGCTCTCAAGTTCTGTTGCATGTACCAATATTTATTTCTTAACCTTTTCTATGTGTACACAGGTTCCAGCTTCTGTACCTTCGCATGAATGCCTTGTTATCAATGGAAGAGTTTATACAGTGTTAAAGCAAATAGGTAGTGGAGGCTCAAGTAAGGTAAGGTGCTCCTTTATCCTTTTAGTCAGTCACTCATTTACCCAGTAGTACAATTTATTATAAATGTTGAAATCACCTAATGAGTGCCTAGTGTTAACATGTACACAATGTTTGACCCAGGGAATCTAGAACTTTGCTGGTGTGCCATGCTTTTTTTTGCTCTCGAAGATAATTTCTGTGGTAGAGTAAGCATTAAAATTCCTGGCAGAATCAGCTGTTCTATTGTAAGAGATGTGCTGCATTGTGTACATCCTAATGTGAGAGGCTGTTGTTTAGAGCAGTGTGATTACACTGTTGGGAAATGGGTGACTTGTAAAGTTGATTGAGAGCCTGAAGGAGACAGACCATCTCTTAACTACTTCTGTAACTTGTGTGAGAAGTAGAGTTGTAGCTATGTCTGAAGTGGTGAGTGAGATGCTTTTTACATGGAAATCTGGGGTCATGGGAGCTTGAGAAAAAATATTGGCAAAATCTCTTGGGCTTGTTATAGTTCCTTAGTTTCTTAACAGCATAAGCAGTTTAGCTGGATATTGTGGGGGACTACGTCAAAGGCCTTACAGAAGTCCAGATAGATGACATCTCTATCTCTTCCCTTGTCCACTGATTTAGTCCCTCCCTCACAGAAGGTCACTGGGTTGGTCAGACAGACTTGCATGTGGGGAAGCAGTGCTGGCTCTTTCAAATCACCTCCCTGTTCTCCATGTGTTTTAGCAGAGCTTCTGGGAGGATGTGTCCTAAGGATACCTAATTTAACTAATTACATAGAGGTCTTTCCCTTTGTGAATCCATGTTGACTGATTGTTACATTTCAGTTGTACCCAGTAGGATATTCTCTGTAATTTTTGCAGCAACAGAGGTTTGGCTAACAAGTTTGTAGTTTCCTGGGTCTGCCCTCCCATCCTTCTTGCCAGTTGGACTAATATTAGCCAGCTTTCAGTTAGCAGGGAACTCCAGAAAGAGGAGCTCTCTGTTGTCAGTGTATGGTTGTAGAATGAGGTAGGATGTCAGGGACTTCTGTGTGTCACTTTCTCATAGTCTGCTTAAAACAAGGCTCAAATAGAGCAGGGTATGCATGGGGTTTTGTGTTTAAATATTGCCAAGGATGGCGATTTCATAGCCTATCTGGACAAGCAGTTTTCCTGTTGGTCTATATGACAGTGAAAAAATCAAAACATCCAATTGTGATTTTCCTTGTTGTTAGCTATGTCTGTTGCATCTCATACTTGGATGGTTCAAGAGGAGTCTGTCATACCTTCCCTTTAAATAGGTGAAGACTGCATATAGGATTTCCTGCAGCCTTCTCAAGACTAAATGAGACTTTGTGCTCTCAACCTCTTCTAATGTGCCATGTAGTCTAGCCTCCAAATGATCATGGTGTGACAAAGTGAATGTGTGAGGGCAGATCAAACCTTTATCTCTGAGAGTGTTATTTCATAATCTTTATCTTAGGAACACTGCAGACTCATGATGTACGACACCTGGTGAAATATAATGTGGCACCAAGATAGCTTCTGATAGAGGGTTGGTTCTGTTGTAACTGGTGTCTTTGATTTTTTTCATGCTGGCTTGTATGAATTTTGTCAGATTGTTTCTTCCTTTTGAAAAGGTAGACTTTGGTATTCTGGCTGAGTTGAGATGAAGGACCATGGTACATTGGAATTAGGGATGAATGAAGTTGTTAACATATTGTTTTGTAGGTGTTTCAAGTACTGAATGACAAGAAGCAGCTGTATGCTGTCAAATATGTGAACCTAGAGGAAGCTGATCAACAGACTGTTGAGAGCTATAAGAATGAAATTGCTCATTTGAGTAAACTGCAGCAACATAGTGATAAGATCATCCGCCTTTATGGCTAGTGAGTAAATACTAACTTTATTTAACCAGTATTTCACTGTAAAAAGATATTTCCTTCACTTTTAACACATGTTTTATTTTTAGTGAAATTACTGATCAACATATCTACATGGTAATGGAGTGTGGAAATATTGATCTCAATAGCTGGCTTAAAAAGAAAAAAAAGATGGATCCACTGGAACGAAAGAGCTATTGGAAAAATATGCTGGAAGCTGTTCACACAATCCATGAATATGGTATTCTTAAATAATTCTAGGTATTTGTATAGGATATATGGCAGATAATATGGCTCTTGTTTTAATTTTGGAGGTGGTGTTGTTTTTAATGTTGGTGTAATCTTAGTGATCTTCAAAGATTGGTATTTACTGTATTTAAAAAAAAAAGCAGTGATGCAAAAAACTAAGTTAAATCTTGATCCAGAGACAGACTTGGCTAAGTCAAGAAGGATCTCACAAATATCGCTGTCTATGTAATGCTATCTGCTTTCTTTCAACAGCCAGAAAATATTTTCTGTTTTAGACTACCTCGTATACTCCCACTTGTTCTCTGTTAGACTCAAATTTTAGCCACTCAGTCTCTCCATACTTAGCTTTGCCATTAATGACAGCTCTGCCATCTTCACTTTGACAAAGTGTTTCAGCTTTCTCTTAGAGTTCTTCAGGCCTTCCTCTCCTCTTTACCTATATATTTGTGTATGCATCTATAGCATCTATATTCTGTTTGTCTGTATAGTATAAAGGAGAGGCAGACTTGGATCTTTTCCTATGTAATAATGAAGTGAAGAGTAGTACATGTAGCATAAAGCATCATCTATTTTAGGACTGGAACATTCAAAAATATAGCAAACAGCAAAGCCTACTGAAATTCAGCAGGCATACATAGATGTGATGTTTTGAAAAAAGACATAGATTTTTGTAAAATATCAAGATTGGTTGATTATGTAGATAGTAACCAAAATTCATGTTAAATTGTGCAAGTAGAGTTTGTAAGAAGTCAGTTGTGTGTATTCCTCAGTGAATGGTACCTTTAATCAGACTAAGCAATATAATTATTTTATTTTAACTACCTGCTTAGCTAATGAAAGAGAGAACGACAAGCATAGACAGGCCACTGAACTGCTCCAGAGCAGCAATCCAGTGTGGCTATGTGCCCACAGAGCTGGAGTGTCTGTCCCAAACTGAGACAAACTCTGCAACTCAAATTGCTTGGAGCTGTTCTGGGGTACCTGCAGGTTTGATTAAGTAGTAATTCTAACTGTAAATTCATGTAAGTTAAGAACTCTTGAGGAAAAAATGGAAGCACTTTTATGAAATCTGCGGAGACTCAAATAAAGCCAATCTGCACCTTCTCTCTGTGCAAGGGTTATGGGAATTGAGTAATGTTTAACCTTATGGTAGTAATTTGGATTTACTTTAAACTCTTTTTTACAGGCATTATTCACAGTGATCTGAAACCAGCAAACTTTCTGATAGTTGATGGAATGTTAAAACTAATTGACTTTGGCATTGCAAACCAAATGCAGCCAGATGTGACAAGTATCATTAAAGATTCTCAGGTGAAATACTTCTGGAAAATTCATGTCCATTTTTCTGTGAAATGCAATAGTACCTGCTGATAATTTTGATTGTAATAACCTCAACTACTATTGAAATCTTATGCTGAATGGTTTTATATGTGTATATAATTATTCATGAATATTGCTTTTTACATGTTTTTAATGAAGAAAATAATAATGGCAGTCAACCTTAATAGAAACAAACTTTTAAGATGCTTTTCAGTGTTTTGGGACAGAAATCTAAGTTTTATTAAGTTAATTAAATTTAATGCATGCTTTACTTAAAATATTTTTTCATTTTTATGGCTAGGCTGGCACAATGAATTATATGCCACCTGAAGCAATAGAAGATAAGTCTTCCTATGGAGAAAATGGCAAGCCTCGTTCTAAGGTAGTATGATCTTTTTCCTCCTATTCCCTTCATGTTAGGAAGGAAGGAATTCAATCATATATCTTCAGATTTTTTTTCAAAATCTTCCACCGAAACTTGAACAGAAGAGAATTTATTGTGCTGTAATGGTGTGCAGAGTTGGAAGATTAAACTTAAATCTCCCTAACTACCTAAAAGCATTTGGCAGATAGTGTTTAGAAAAATGTAAGTGCTCAATTACTGCAAAAAATTGAAAGTAAAACAGAGGCACAGGCTTGGGCATTTTAGTGCCACATATGAGTTCAGTGTATCCTGTTAGTTTTTCTCTGCTACAGAGTATTGTGTATTGTAGAAAATTTTATATCACCAGGGCAATGGAATGTGAATGATGAGAAAAGTACTGAAGGGAAAGCACTTTTCACATTAGCAGACAAAATTCAACTGAGGCCTACATGGTTTGGTGCAAAAGTATTTAAAATCCATATGTACTCACATGTACATGAAGATTAACTTTTTAACAGTTGAATGGAAGTATTATTATGTAATGAAATAAAATCTTGGCTTCCTAAATAGACAATAAAATATTGCAAAAGTAGATTTTTTTTTTTTAAGGATGGTAATTTTTTTACCTTTTGTATTTCTAAATTAAAACTGCATGCAAAGTGCAGATTTTTTCAGCTCATCTAAGCAGAAATCCACTGTGCTGGGAGTCAGGTTCTCTGTATGCATCTTTCTCCACTTCCCCCTCTCCCCCACTCTGTGCTTCTCTTAAAGTACTTCAGCTTCAAAAGGACAAGTGCAAAGTTGTCCTACAAGGACCAGCCTGAGTGTCATAGTTGAAATATGGATCTGAATCCTTTAAACCCAGGGGAGTTGAATTGTGGCTTTCCACTTAGGAGACATAGCAGTGATCTCTCACCATTTCCTGGATTTAAATAATTTAGTATGCTTTTAGTTGTGTTTATTTTTAAATCTGAAATTAGAATCCTGTAGTTTGAGTTGTTAAGGACTAACTTTATTTTTAAGTTAGTTCTTCAAGTAAGTTGATTTTCAAAAATAGCTTAGAACAATAGTTTTCTTATGGAATATCAGTGAAGGAAGCAACGTTACTGTCTTAGTAGATAATGGCGTGCTGTCTTGGTGATTTTGTGTAATAGTAACAAAGATCTCTTACACAATGAAAACTGTACAAATACATGATAAATTGACTGAAGGGCCAGTTCCCTAAGTAGAGAGTAATTTTTTTTATTTTTAATATTAGATAAGTCCCAAAAGTGATGTGTGGTCACTGGGCTGCATTTTGTACTGTATGACATATGGAAGGACTCCGTTTCAGCATATAACAAGTCACATCAATAAAATGCATGCTATTGTTGATCCAAGCTATGAAATAGGGTTCCCAGATATTGCTGAGAAGGATCTTCAAGATGTGCTGAAGGTAACTGTTCCTTTTGTTTTAAGTAATGGTAATTTCTTTATTTAAAGCATATTTTATAAAACTGAATGAGTTGTGCTTGAAAGACTTTTTCCACAGAGAGATGCTCACTGCTACTTGTAGTAACAGGCCTTATTCTAAAAGAAGAACTAAGGTAGAGCTACTCATGTAGTTTCCATATTAAAGTCTCTTTTCAGCTCAATACCAGCTAAGTAAGTCCTTTGGTTCAACAACCAAAGTAAATACTGTTAATTCCTAGGACAATTCATAATTTATAGGCAAAACATTCTTCCTCTTTCTTCATTTGCAGCGCTGTTTAATAAGAAATCCTAAAGAGAGAATTTCTGTTTCGGAGTTGCTGGTACATCCCTATGTTCAAATTCAAAGTCATTGTCCAACAGGTACATTTATTTTAAAATACATTCTTATTAAATAGTATTTGTAACTATGCATTAAAAACCACTTTACAATTAGAGGTACTATGAGCTTGTTGATGTGACTCAGTTTTGTCTGGTGCCTACATCTGCTTCAGAAAAGACTTCAGTATTTTAATTCTTAAACCTGTTGCAAACTGTTCTGGCAGTTTTTATGCTGATAATGTATACAATTTCACCATGAGTATAAATTACCTGCAGATGTTCCAAATGCAAAAGGAACAACAGAGGAAATGAAACGTATCCTTGGCCAGCTTGTTGGCTTGAATTCTCCCAATTCTATTTCTAGAGCTGCGAGGGTAAGTAAATTGTCTTTTCTATTTTGTGTAGTAGTACATGCTCATTCAGAGCAAGGTTAGAATGTTTAGTAGTGAAAGCTGAAACAATACATATATGAAATCTTCAGCCATAGCTGGGAAAACATTGCATATCTTAGCGCTTCTATTTGCAAGGATGCAGAATCTCTCTACATTATTCTGAATTGGAAGGGTTGAAAGTGATGCCAGTAATCTTTACTTTTAGTTTTTTCTTTCCTTTCCACCTCCTGGTAGATCTGCTATGCTTTTAAGCAACCCCTATGTGGGAGTCTTCTAATTTAAGAACCCTCACTATGGAAAAATTATCTGAATTGATCTGTTAAGTGTGCACACTTTTGAACTGCAACTGTTCCTGCATCCTGGAAGTTGCTGAGCTGTTAATGCCAGTGTTATTGTAAATTAGTTCCTGTGTGTTGAAGTATTGCAACCTCTCTGTTTATTGCCTGAAAGAGAAGCTTGATAAATCTTCAACTCTGTTCTTTCTACCTGTGTCTCAGAGGTGATGGTGGTAAAATATACATAAGATCTAGAGAATGCAAAACTGCTTTCATGGGGAGGAAAGCAAATTCAATGTATATTAAATCTAAAGGAGTTCATGCTTACACTTCTAGTTGCACTTGATCTGTTTTGAATATGAGGGCGAACAAGTAGTTATTCTTCTAACAAAATGGTGATTTGGCTGTTTGTGGGCATCTGAGTATCTCATGTAGAGCTTGCATGCCCCCAGTACACAAATAACTCCTTCCATGCTGGGGTTTCCATAGTGGAAACGTTTAATAGAGTAAACTTGATTTTTAGATCTCTCCAGCTCATTTGTTCTCTCCTGACTTGTGAAACTCTTTAACTTTGCCCACACTGCAAAGTCAGTGTATGTATTTTCCCCTGGGCACTGCACTGCATTACAACTGGTACAACTAAGCTGTCTTAAGTGTTTTATTTTTTGATTTGACAGAGCAATTTTAATATGGAATATTTCAGTATGTGATGATTTATTTCAAGTGTAATGCTTGTTATATAGTTTGAATCCACGTGCAGTACAACTGTGTTCACCTGAATATCCTGTGTGTTTAACTTTCAGACTTTATATGAACAGTGCAACAGTGGTAAAACTCTTGATGTATCAGCATTTGCAAAACCTGGGAGTCAAAAAACATGGACAACAAAATGATGTACTACTGTTCAGGATGCAACAGATGTCTGGTCTGTTCAAAAAGTATTTTGTGCTGCTAGCTTTTAAAAGGACACTCAGCATAAAGTTTGCATTTTTATATGTTCGTTGTGTTCTTTTGATAATGATTTCAGGTCATTAAAAAGAGCTTAATTGAATGCTTTTTACAGTGGGCTCTTTCACTCCTTGCATGCTGCTTGGGTTGAGCAATGACAATGGCTACTTGGTGATTATGGTCTGTGTTACTTACAAAGCACTACAGTGTCTGGAGTACAAAAACTTGTGTGAGAATCTTTCAAGATGAGATCTTTGGAGAAGCTAATATAAAAAAGTTCCCAAAAAAAGCCAGCTGATGTACATGAAAAACATTAAATACCTTTTGAAACATCTCCTAAGGCACAAACAGTGTTATGCTGTTCTGTCCTTTGCTAACAAATACCTTGGAAATGAGCATTCTGTATAAACCACCAGTTACAATATTGGTAGATGCATGTAAATGTCACCCGGTTTTTGAGCTGTTCCTGTGGTTGAGTGTTATGATGGAATCATCAGTACTGTGTTGAACTTGTATGAATAAAATGACTCTTGTTGTATTAAAAATGCCATTACAGGTTAAGTCTGCTTTTCAAATTTCAAAATAGAAATTCCTTCAGGATTCACAATGGTAATAAATTACTAATTTGGGTTTTTAAAAGCATTAATACTAAGCATTCGCTAAAATGCACTGAATGTAAGAGAAGTGGATTTTACATGGTTGTTATTGGATTGGTCAGGTTTTAACTGAATTACATTTCTGATGCAAGTGTATGTTCATACCTGCCCTCCCTTGTTTTGGGTTAGCTGTGATTCTCTACATTACACAGGGAGAGTGATCAGAGTGGGAATTATTCCTGATAAACAGGAGGGCTGAAGTAGGGGCAGAGAATGTGTGCTCCACTGCAGTGTTGGAGCACCCAAAGAACAGCACATCTCCTTCTTAAGAGTAAACCTGGAATGATAAACTTAAGGTGTTGGTCTCATTGTCATTATGTGAAACAGGGTGTGGAATCTCAATTAGTCATCTGTCAGGATGGGGGTAGTTGTCCCATATTTCTTGTGAAAAAGGCTTGTTCCCCGTAGTGGTGTTGTTCTTGCTCATTTTTTTTTAAAGACTTAGTGCTGCTGCTGCAGAAGTTCAGAGGTATTTCAGGCATAAGGAGTACCTGTGCTAATTGTACTCCACCTTTTGTTTATAGCTTGTTATGTATATATTAAAATTTTCAAAGTTGAAGCCAATGAAGAAAAGATTTTATTGTTCTGCACATTTGATATTCTAAACAGTTTGAGAGACTGCTAAGGTATGGGAAGTGAAACACTTTGGCTTTCTCTGGAAGGGGGGAAGAAGTATCAGCCTCTTGAGAGAAAAACCTGTGAAGAAAATCTTTACTCTGCAGAAATGTCTTTTCATAAAGTGAAAAGTTTCCCAAGTCCTTGTCTAGATTACAGAGCTTGAAAAAATTATTTGTAGTTATTCTAATGTTACAGTAGTTAACTTTTGCTGTTTTGCTTCCCTAGTTTGTGTTGAATATTGAGAAGCAGTGCTACGTTACTGCATAGCAGTCCTACAATAGCTACAGCTATTTTTCTTTTGTAGTGTATGATTTATCAAGCCTTTCTCTTATTCCATGGCTGTTGAAGAACCCACAGGAAATATAACTGACATGAGAGGGAGCTTATGAAAGAGCCCTGGGGCTGATAAGAGGCAGTGGGTTGTTATCAATCATCCCTTTAAAATAATTTTTTTCCATTGCAGATGGGCAGTTGATTTATTCCCCTTCCCCACCTCCATGACCTGCTGCAGGATATCTGTCTACCTTGGTAGCTGCCACTTACGAGTCTTCAATCTGTTTCAGGGTTTTTTTTCTGCTTTATTGAAAGCTATCTCCCTTCTCAAGTTCTGCTGGAGTCTTAAAAGCATAAGTGAATTACAGACATGTGTGATTAGCTTTAAAGGACAAAAAATAACAATCTTAAATGTTGGGTAACAGGTAACTGCTAAAAGCTCTTTCAAGGTTACAAAATGTCCATCCTGTGTTACTGTCACCCTCAAGGCTGCATTTCGGGAGATTGTATATAATGGAGAGAGAAGATGGCTGGTAAAGCAGAGTATGTCTCTGTAAAGAGATAAATCTACAGTACAATACCATATCAGCTAATAATGAGATTCCACAGCTATGTGAAGGGTACAAAGGTAAATGAGAACACTTCACTAAGTTCCCTGTTATAATTCTTGTTGGAAAAATGGGTTTGGGAGTTTACAGCCTGTAAATCTAAAACTGTGTTCCAAAAGCTCTGCTCAGCAGCTGGCACTATAAAAGAAACCTAACTGCAGAAGGGTTACTTTCCTTTTCATTTATGAATGGGTATAGCATGACTCAGTCTCCAGATTCCTCTGGAGGGTAAGTGGAGGGCCAGGAACTGACCTTTCCTCTGTGGTGATGGGAGCTGAGGGAATGGCAGGAGGAGGGGGAGGGGAGGTTTAGGTTGAATATCAGAAAAAGGTTCTTCACTCAGAGGGTGGTTGGGCCCTGGAACAGGCTCCCCAGGGAAGTGGTCACAGCACCAAGCCTGACAGAGTTCAAGAAGTGTTTGGATAATGCTCTCAGGCACCTGGTGTGACTCTTGGGGTGTTCTGTGTAGGGCCAGGAGCTGGACTTGATGTTCCTTGTAGGTCCCTTCCACCTCAGGATGTTTTTTGATTCCATGATTCTCTGACTCTGCCTGAACTCTGCTCTGTAAGGTTAGTTGGAATTCAAACACTAAATAAAGTTTTAAGTTTTGAAGGCTCTGCTCATGCAGTTATTCTTCTTGTGACAACACCTAGAATTGAGTCCTTGACAAGATCAAGAAAAGGAGGCTGTTTGCTTGCATATACCTCTGCTCTAAGGACACTTGACCAAGGAACAAGAAAAATCTATTCACAAATCCATCACCATGATGCTGGAGGAGTCAAACTCCTGCTTCTCATCTAGTCTTGTGGAAGGCACTCTTAAGGTGCTACTGCTGTACGTGTAGCTGTGCAGGAGGGAAATAGTAAAATCCCTAACAGCAGAGGGCAGAGCAGAGAGTGTGAGTTAGTCTGGAGGTAAGTTGTCAAATTGTCACTATTTTGGTCCCTCCTGTGGATTTCTGTTCTTCCTTTAAGTACCTAATAATGATTGCATACTTAACAGTTTTAACTAATTCTGGGAGTGGTGGTAAGTATCATGTTAAAAATTCAACAGTTGAACAAACTTGAGTTCTAGCCATGGTGTGAAGTCTAGCTTGCTCCCTGAACTCCTCAGCAAGCATCTCTGGTTAATCCTTGCAGGTGCCAGTTATAACAATCCTTGCTTCTCTCTTCCACTTGTTTACACTCTTATTGCCTTACTGCTCACACAAAACAGAGTTCTCAGCAGCAACAAATAAAACAAATACCACTTTTTATTGTATTTCTCTCTTTAACACTTTTATTGCTAAGGCATGTCCTGTTTCAGCTAAGGGTAAACTGCTAATATGGGAGTATTCCCTTCCTGCTTGATGTATATGTCTCTTCCAAACTTGGTTATCTGTCCCACCTGCCTGGAGCACAAGGCTTGTCAGTGTGCCCTTGTTTGCTTACTGCTTCACATAAAGTAATTAGGAGATAAATCTTGTGAGATAAAGGCTATAAAGAATGGAGCAGGCACTGCAATGTGATTTACTTGTAGGATATAGAGGTGTGCACCTGTATGGACACAGAAGAAGTCTTTATACAGCCTGTCCATACACTTTCATGGGAGTTGCTGAAATGAAACCTGAGATAAAAATCTGACTCCTCACCTCAATTCCTTCTCTTGGCAGGTAGAATATTCACAGCTAAACAATGATGCAATTTGAAGATTCTGGCTCTAATCAGATGAATTGCTAAAATCCAGGCAGATTTTGCAATGAAAGATCTGACTAATTTGATGTGGAATAGTGGTACCACTGTTCTGATCCCTGAATAAACACAAGGAATAAGTCAGTTTTAAAATATCTGTCCATTGGTCTTAACCCTTATATATTGTAAGGCTCTATGGCTTGTCTCTGTACCCACTTAATGTGTATGTTATGTGGTAAGTGCAGGCATGCTTTGAATTCCTCTTTGTAACATGCTGTGTCTCTTGCTTTTCCCCTATTTTATGTCACTGTTATTTTTATTTTTAATTGGCTTTTAAGTAACTATATTTAAAGAAATATGAATTGGATTTGCACTTGCTTCCTTTGTCTTGAATAGACATAATCTTAGAGGTCCCAAATGATTCTGTTAGCCTAGCACTGCCAGGTCATGGATAAAATATTTCTGTGAGTCTTAGCTCTTTACATTCCTTGTCTTGTTTGCTTTGTTTGTCAGAAAGCTGTTCAGTACCACAGATCTGTACAGTGCTACTTGTGTTCAGTGACTCATTGGGGCATAAAGCTCTTCACTGCTATTGCAGAGTGGCATTGTACTTTGAAATACTCTTATCAGGCATAAAACGTGTGTTTGGATGTTCATGCAATGGGACACATAGTTCTGTGCAGCAGAAGGCAGTGAAGTCCCCTCCACAGTGATGGGGAAATGCTGGGCTGTGCAGCAGCTGCTGTGTGCTGGAGGGACTCCTGAGCCATCCAGCAGGAAGCACTCACCAACATTCCAGGAAGGTACCTCAGAAATGAGAAGTTCTGAGTCTTCAGGAGGGCTTGGGTACCTGAGTGAAAGATGAGTGTCTGCCTAAATATTTCTCAGTCTGATGTTTGGACTTTACTTTTGCAGTGCTGGACAGCTGTTAAGACACTTCCTAACGGCAGTGATGGATGCTGAGCAATGCAAATATGAACAAAGCATTGGGTTTTGGGACAGCAGATGAAGCTTCAAAGAAACCCTGGCATTTGGCTTGCTGTTTGCCATGGGTTAGAGAATGCTCCTGTTGCTCTAGCTTCTCATCTGGAAAGAAAAGCCAACTCACGTGCATCAATGTTCAGAGCTGAGAAAGTTGGAGATTTTCATGCCAAGATATGCTCTGTAAGATATTAGTCCAAGGAACTACTTGAAAT